ACCTGAAATAGGGACACTGAAACATATGATAGCAAATCTCAAAACATGAATTTTCACTGTAGATATTCATTTTTTGAAATGGCAAGTTGATGAGATTGACCTGGGAATATGTATAGATATTATATATAATTAAAATTTATTAAAGCATTATAATTTTTCTTATTATTATTAATATTATTTATTTAGTTTCTTGTGCAGAAAGAAAATAGATGGGAAGAAAATAATATTTTATGGTTTTGAAAAATATGCATAAATGTGTTTTAACAGTTTTATTTTCTAGCTCCCTTTAGTCTTTTTCAATATTTTATCTAATTATCAAGCCAGACTCATTAGGGTTTTGTACCTTGTTTATAAAATTTAGATTACTATTTTAGAAGTTATGGTATATGTTTGCAATAATATAACCACTATACCCAGCCTGGGCAGTTACCATGTTTAAATAAATATCTGATAATATTTCAAACTCACCAGACCACTGATTTTAGGAATTAGGCATTTCATGAGCCATGTAATTTTTTTTCTTCTCCTTCTTTCTCTTCTTTAGTGGTACCAAATGATGGACGGTTGAGAGCCTAGCAGTTTGCATGCTCTGTGTTGTCCTGGATGAATCCTGCTTTAGAAGTGGAAAACTGATGTTGGATTACATGAAAGTTTCTTTTGTGTGTTGCTATTTTTTTCATTATCTACTTGAATGGGGACTTCTGGATGAATGAAAGGTATATCGCACAAAATTGGTTGAGAGCCACTCTTATTGATGAAGATACCAGTTGTATGTTTTTTTTGTGGGTATGGGTGTAAAACTATATTTTAATGACTGTTTTTGTGAAAGGAGGTGAATCTGTTCTCCAACAATGTATAGCTATATAAATGTGAGTGAATTTTTAGTGCTAATGGAGTACCAGTGCTAGGTGAACAGATGATGCAGAGGCCAGCTTTCTTGTAGACCTCCTAATGATATAGTTCCCAGTAGTTTAACCCACTAACGACGGGTGACCCACATATGAGACACCCAAAAAACAAACATTGCCGGACGTCCCACCATTGTGACGCTGTATTGGGGCTCGCGCTCTGACGCAGCAGCGTGCCGCAGCTGGAGGGCAGACAGACTCTAGGGCAGCTCCTCCCACTGATTTTGTAGCTGCCCCCAATCTTTTATTTTCAGCTTCAAAATATACTAGGGTCAATGGGTTAAGGGGGCTGTCACACTCGAGAACAAAATTCGTCATTTATGATCGGATTTTTACTATTATTTTGTAGGTTATATATACATATTCGTTGATAAACACCACCAAGTTTCATATCATTTGAATAATTAACAAAGGCGTTATTTAAGAAAAATGAGTGTGTGAAAAATAACAAAGTTTGATATTTATTTTTTTCTAAATGCTCAGTCATATGAACTCAAGATATAATATATGGACTTCTATTACATGAATGAAAATATCCATAATGTAAAAAATCACAAATTTATTCAGCTTTCAATTGACCCAAACCCCATTAGAATCACCAAATAATTATGGAGAAATAAAAGAGAATGTTGACAAACATGTAGTTTTGAGATATCGGGCTCCTAAGTTCAGAATACTTTTCCCTCGATTTTGTTTTGTTTTGTTTCGTATTTTTTAAAATTCTTTTCTTTGCGTCAATCTTTCTGCATTCTATGGCATTCACAGTGGAGCTGGTACCTGGTCCCCCCCTTTTGCAAAGTACTTATGGCAATAACTGCATATGATTGTAGAATTAGCGCATGTCATCATAGACTTCGCAGTGCCTAACCTGACCATGTGAGGAATTTCATAAGTATAAACAACTGCTGCAGCTATGATTGAGATTTATTTTTTTATCACATAATGTTTATTAGATACAAAAATAACATCTACCACTAGTTGTGTCCCCTTACTGTGTAATGAGGGCATACGTCTGCAAGATGTGTTGTAGAGGTAGGAGCTATTAACATTTTGTCTCCTAGAATGGCAACATCTTGTCTCCCAGAGTTCCAGTCTTGGCGATCAGCTGATGGGTAAACAAAGTTGCCAGCTAGCTATCAGAGAACACCATAAGAAATTTTTAAAAATCTGAAAAAAACAATTATGTCGAGTATATTTGCACGGACGCGACAAAGTAAACATCTCCTTTATTCTTACGTATTTAGCAGAAATATTACGTCAGTGGGTTGCCAAAGCCTACTATATTATGCAAGATTTTTTTCATTTTTTCAAGTATTTTTTTAAAATATTGATCAAAAATCTATGGCGAAAGCCGCCTTAGGGATTGTGCAGTTAAGCAGACCGTCCTGGGAAATGAGCATTTCCCTATTCATTTCATAAAAAAAAAAAAAAAAAAGTTGGTAGATAATTGATTGATAATTGATTCATTGATTCTTTTTGTATAATATAAAGCATAGAATTGTGCATTGTCTCATATATAATTTTGACCCACTTTTTTTTTTTTTTTGTATTCTCCTTCTCCTCCTCCCTCCGCCTTTGGTACATCACCACTCCCATTTTTTTCCTGAACAATACACAAAAAATTCATGTGTTAGATCTATAATAGCTTAAGGCCATGTAAATGGCCGGTTTTTTAAATTACCTTGTTTTTTGGCCAGGGGACTAGTTGACATAGAGTACTATTTTTGGTTTTGGTTTTTCAGCATTAAAAAATTCATATTTTTTGATTGTCAAAATTTAAAAATCGGCAATTTACACTCTGAGCTCCAAGGCTCTAGCGAAAGCAAGAAACTGTATTTGAATCGCATGAAAATTACTAGCGTGGTGATATACCGAAGGTAATGTAAACAAAAAATGGAGATACAGCGTATTATATTTTGATAGCTTGCCAGAGTTTGTTATCTCTGTTATTTTTCTCTAAATCTATTGATGTGATGTATATATATAAAAAAAAAATTATTTAGTGTACTTTGCAATGCGATAATTACCAAATCAATTGGAATTACTATTTTCAATTGGGACACTTTAGCATAAAGGTATGTATTTTATATACATATATATATATATATATATATATATATATATATATATATATATATATATATATATATATATATATATATATATATATATATATATATATATATATATATATATATATGTATATATATATATATATATATATATTATATATAGTATATATTATATATATATATATATATATATATATATATATATATATATATATATATATATATATATATATATATATATATATATATATATATATATATATATTATATATATATATATATATATATATGTATATATATATATATATATATATATATATATATATATATATATATATATATATATATATATATATATATATATATATATATATATATATATATATATATATATATATATATATATATATATGTATATATAGTATATATATTATATATATGTATATATATATTATATATATATATATATTCTATATATTATATATATATATATATATATATATATATATATATATATATATATATATATATATATATATATTTATTTATTTATTTATTAGTAGGTATTTTTGTCTGAAAAGTTTAATAAATGCATTGAACCATAGAAACAACCAGATAAATCAGATAAAACCTTTTTTTTCTTTCTTTCTTTCTTTCTTTTTTTATTTTTTATTTTTATTTTTTTTATTTTTTAAGAAATGGGGAACTGTGGATGGCAACATTAGTACAAAATCATCCTAATTATAAAGTCCTAGCATGAATACAACATGGTGGTTCAATTTTGAGAATTTTAAAAGCATATGAATATAGTACATAGAATTCGAGAACTTACCGAAGTCGTTGAATTGAGGAGAGATGGTCACTGCGTGTTTATAATTTTCGAGGAGGTTTATATGTATGTGAACATGCGCACATAAAGTTAAAAAAAGAATAATCATCCTCATTTAGTAGGCCTACATTGACTTGCATATCTAGATAATAAAATATGTTACTTATCCCACTCAAACCGTTTTCGTTGACAATTCTCAATATTAACAGATTTCAAAGGGGAATGAGTGCAGAGTTGGTTATTAGCCATTTGCACCCATTATCTTTAATAAGAAGTGTATAAAATCATGCAGAAAACCTAGGTGTGGTGGGATATTTGCGAATTTATGGTACCTAAGGCCTAAGGTAATTTCTAAACATAATAGTTTTTATTGTGAATACACAAAACAAAAGCGATAGCTTTATCAACTCTAGACTGTGCACATAAAGGAGCTCAAAATTCCATGTAGTATTTATTTCAGAGGAGATATTACTGAGTACTATCATCTTTAATATGAAATAATCAGTATCTCGCTTATACATATGAAGTTCAAAAATCCGATATTTAGGTAAACTTCCTATTGAATTGGTCTTTACAACAGTAAAGACCAATTTCAAATCAAATCAGATTTTACCCTTGCTGTGATGTACCGACCGTTGAGTCAAGTCTAACGGTATTATTTCAATCCTTACTTGTACGGATATTTTCAAACATTAGTGCTTTACACTCGGTATATGTACAGATCACTTCGTAAGCTACATAATATTACTAGGGAGTCTTGTTGAAGCATATTTCGTGTGTAAAAGGACACAAAACTTACATTTTATTTTTAGATATATTCCACAAAATATTTCATCATAAATCACTGTGATTATAATTTTTTTCTGATAATGGTATAAAAGCGTTCCTTGAACATTCATGAACTCATCTATGTGCAATGTCATAATCAAATGCCGTATGCATCATTGCAACAAGCAAAAGTCCACTTAGGTGTACCTGGGCGCTCTTTAGTGACGCACCTGCCCAATTGTTTAGAGGGTCTCGTGTCAGCTATAAGACAACGAGCCACAGCAGGCCTTTAATAGTCGTTTGGTAGTTTCCTTATCCATGTACCTATACTATATGCTAGCTAACTCAGTTTGACCCCCTCCCCCCATCTGGGACAGTCCCCTTAATTGCATTAGAAACTAATTTTTTCTGTTTCTTTTGTAGGTGGAAGCCATTATGGGCTTGAGGGAAGTGAAGGGACGCACCGAGTACAAAGTGCGATGGAAGGGCTGGAGTGCAAAGTATGATTCATGGTTGTCAGAGGAGGAGTTGAATTGCCCTGACCTCCTAAAGCGATTCCTATCAACCTTAGAGAAGTTGGAGAAGCAGGAAGATTGGCAGGTATGGTGCTGGTTGTTTCAGAGAAAAGGTTTGAATAAGGTTTCTGACACTAGAACTTTGCAAGATGGTTTAGAAAATCCTAAATAAAAAGCAGTGAATTATACCCTCTGCCTGCAAATAGTGTATGATGTACTTTTTAATATAAGTAAGATGTAGAATAGATCTTGACAAAGTAATGAAAAACTACCTGAATTTTGTTCTAGGTGGAGAAGATCTTGGACTCCAAAGAGAAGAAGGGTAAGATTGAGTATTTGATCCAGTGGAAGGGTTGGGGGCCCAAGTACAACACCTGGGAACCTGAGGAAAACCTCTCTGGCTGTCAGCAGATCTTAGAGCGTTTCAAAGAGAGTCAGCAGAAGGAAAAGGTAAAAGGCCACTTGCTTTTACGTATTTTGCTTTTATTTTGTTTTGATTTTTTTCTTTCCTTCTTTCTTTCCTTCATGTGACTACTTTCTGTTTTTCCTTCTTCGTCATCTATCCCTTCTTCCTCTCCTTTTTTCTTCCTCCTTCTCCACCTCTACCTCCCCCCCACTTCTCTTTCTGACCTTCTTTTGTCTTTCTCTCCATTCCCTTCCTTTCCTTCTCTTCCTTTATTACTTCTTCACCCCCTTTTCCTCTCCATTGTCCACATGATGCTTTTTCTAGCTGAGAGGTAGCTATCCCACTCATATGAGATAATAACATCATCTTTCTTACAGGATAAGATGCTGAAGGAGGGGCGGAGAATGCGAGAGGAGAGGCCTACAACCCAGAGGTTTGTTGACAACTTCTCAGAAGGAACTCGCTCACGGTCCCGAAGAGCTGGCAAAAACCGTTCATATTCAGAGTTTTATAACCAGTGAACTTGTGACAGGTAGAGAAAGAGAATGATAAGGAGAAAAAAACTCTTCTTTACCATTTAGAAGAAAAAAATAATAATTTTTTAAGGAGCATGAAACTTTATAGGAAGAAAAAAAGTTGAATACCTATATGTTGAGAATTCATTAGCAGTGCAGTGTATTTTAGGGTGTGTTGTGTATCCATTGGCATTGCAATGGTAGTGAATACTCACTTTACTTTCATAGAAGAAGAAAAAAACATTGTGAGAATAATCACATGCAGAGTAGAAAATGTTTTAGTTATCATGTCCTATTTTTGTAGAGCAGAAAGTCCTGTATTAGCAGAAAATTGTTATATAATACATATCCATTCATTTGTAAAGTTGTAGATTTTTGTTATCTAGATGGAACTCTTAATTCTTGTTGCATTCTTGTCTATTATATTTTTGCTTGTTTTAGAAAGTTATGGATCTAACTTCTCATTATTTTTAGTTACTCAAAAGTCATGGGTGAAAAATAGGTTATGTAGATGTGTCAGTGCCTGTGAAAATTGGTCAACTCCAACTGGCTAACTTAGAAATTGAAATAATGCCAGATAGAACTCAGTGATGCTGATATATCTGTGCTGCAGGAGTTTTGCAGTTTTTTTTTCACCTGTGCTCAAAAGCTGATTTTTGCATTTTTATCTGTGAGGATTTCACATATTAATAAAGGATTTTTTTTTTACATTTTAGGTTTGTAACATTTGCAAATGTTTTATATTTTGATACATTTTTTTAGAAATCTTATTCCCAGATAGTATGAATTCTTTACACATTTATAGTTGTACATATATGTAATTCACTGGTGTAATATGGGGATGTAAATTAAAGCACATAATTATTACCATAGGATATGTCCAAAGCATGAGTTTCATGTATCATAAAATGTATTCAGAATAGTTTCCAGATGTTACTCTAAGGGAAATATTTCCCTGATGTCTGAAAATAGCAAAAAAAAAAAAAAAAAAAAAAAAGACAAAAAAGAACGAAAAAAGGAAAAGGAAAGGTAAAATTATTATGTGACATTATTTCTAGTAACGACATTACTCCTTTCATTACATATATATACAAATATTTATATGTATGTACATGCTGTTTATATATATATATATATATATATATATATATATATATATATATATATATATATATATATATAATATATATATATATATATATATATATATATATATAATAATATATATATTAATATATATATATATATATATATATATAATTATATATATATATATATTATATATATATATATTATATATATATATATATATATATACTATTATATATATATATATATATGTCTATAATATATATCATATATAATATTAAAGTTATATATATATATAATTTAATATATAATACTAATATGTATTATTATATATATATTAATATATATAATAATATACTTATATATTATTATATTTATATATATATATATACATATTATATATCTATACTATATATATATATATATATATAATACTATAATTGGACTACAGACTAACCACATATCATATACATATACATATACATAATACAATACACATAAGTATATATATATAGTATATAAGTATATATATATATATACTATTAGTATATAATATATATATAATAACATATATAACATATATATACCATAATACAATACCTTAGAATATATATAGTGATATAGTATATATAACTATATATTATACATAAGTATACATATGAGTATAGAGTTAAAACATATATACTAATATATATTATATATAATAATAATATAACTATACCATATCAGCTAACTATAAATATATATATATAACACACACATATATAATCTGGTATACAGTATAATCATCAGTATAGCAATTATAGTTATATACATAATATAACTAATATACAGTATATACACATCATACCTAAATACATACATATATACATATATTATTATATCATATATATACACACATATATATATATACCATATTGTATATATATATATATATACATATATACATACATATAATACATACCATATATAAGATATACATAGCTAATATAGACTATTAATTTACATATACACACATGATATATATATAGTATAATTAATATATAATAATATAATTAGTACTATACTATATAATATATAATATATTATAATCACCTTTTACATATTTATAATAATATATATAGCACATATACACATATACTATATATTACACATATTCAACATATATCATATAACTACACATATAGTCATATATACATATACTATCATATATATACAATAATATATACCTAATATATATAACTATATATATATATATATATATAATAAAGTGTATTAACTTACATATATATATTATAATATATAATAATTTTTATATATATATAATTGACACATATATTACTATGTTTATACACATATATCTATATATATACCGACTGACTATAATATATAATATATATATATACTATATATAATTATATATATATACTATAATATAAATAATCTCAATATACTATATATATATATTATATTTATATTTAATATTAATACTATACCACATATATACTTCACATATCTGTACATACATATCCATATATCATATATCTATAATATACTATCATTATGATATAACATACTATATATCATACTACTATTCCTTATATTAATATCATATATATATATTCCATATGTATAGTAATATATGTACTCCATATATATATATCCATTATAGTGAGGTATAATATATATATTACTGTTATTTGCATATTATATATATCATATATATATATCCATATATATATAATCCATATATATATATTTATTATATATATACTAATATATCTATCCATATATTTTATATCCATCATATATATATATATATATCCATAATATTTATATCCATGATAGTCATATATCACATTATACTATAATATATAATATATATATATTAACTAATTTATATCAATCCATATATATATACATATATATATTACAACTATAATATATATACTATATCTATTATAATATAATAATAATATATATTTTATATATATATTATATATCTATATATATAACATATATATATATATAAAATATATATATATATAGTCCATATAGGTATATATGTGTGTTATATAGTAATATATATATAATATTATAAGTATATATATATAATTATATATCCATAGCACTATATACGTATTATAGTATATAACTATATACTATATACATATTATATATTATATATATATAGCATATATCCGTATATAATATATATATAAGTATACTATTATATATTGATAGTATATCTCATATATATTCATAGTAATACTAAAATGTGTGTGTGTGCGTGTGTGTGTGTGTTGTGGTGTGTTGTGTGTGTGTGTGTGTAGTGTGTGTGTGTGTGCCTGTGTGTGTATACGATAATATAATATACTAATAGGAGTATATGTTATATAAGTATATTATATATATATTATATATAAATATATATATTTTTTATATTATTATATATTTATATATATATTGTATATTAATTCAATAATAATATTAATTATATAATATATTCTCTCATTAATACCATATATATTAAATACTAATATATATATATATGTATAGATGTATATGGTATAGTTTATAGCATATGACACTACTGTAATACATATAGGTGATATATATATATATCCATATATATATATTTATATTAATATAATACATATATCTATACTACATAATCCATATATAATATATTAATATTTAATATATTATATATTATATATATATATCCATATATAATATATATACACATGATACATATTAACATTATATATGTTGTGTGTGGTGTGTGTGTGTCTGTGTGTGTGCTGGTGTGTGTGTGTGTGTAGTGGTGTGCTTAGTAATAACATATAATACAATATATATATTACTCTACGTGATGTTACTATATAATACATAATA